TTTTATCGCGGGACGATCACGATCCGATCCTTTTTATACCAATTTTTTATATCCGCCTCCCCTCGATATATAATAACGTTTTCACTTTACTTTTTACACCCCGAGCAAACACGAACCCTTCTCTAATCCATTTTTTCGTCGCTCGATATTAGTCGTCACATCGGGAAAAACGATTCCTCGTAAACAACCAATCTATTATCCCCTTTGTCGGCTCGATGGCTCGTCGTTTGAAAGTTAGACGGGTTATCCGAATATACCAACGGTGTATATATATATATTTGAATAGGGTGTTATAAATCATCCAGTCTTCGAAAGAAAAAAGAAAAAAATAAAGGGGGACGACGAAACACTTTTCCGGAAAGTTAACAAAAAGCAAACTTGGATATTCTCTTGAAGATTTTGTTCTTGGCTTTGTTATACTTATTTCGTATAAAGGAAAATTCGAGTAGAACGAAATAGGATAAAGTTTGCTCGTTTTCGGCAAATGGAACGAAAGCGAAACAACAGGGTGGAAATTCATTTATATATCCGTCATTAAATCGTTAGCCGGATATTTTGGCGAAAGGTCGTCACGGTGTATAATTTCATCGTTTCAAGAGCAGAAATTGTTTTTATCCGCGACGAATTGGAATTTAATTGAAACGAACGATATCCACGGCGCGAAAATGGGCACGATAGGCCGTCGATAAAATAATTAGGGCGAAAATCTGGGAAAAGAGATTGTTCCCAAATCCCCCAAGGATTAAGCCGATTTTCACGTCATAAATTTCCCATTACCCTCGAATAAAGAGAGACCTCTGCACCGGCACTCGAATTGAAGAATAACCGGGACGCGTTGCGTCGCGAGCAGTGCAGGCAATTAACGTCGAAATCAATTGGCAACACTGTTTTTGAACACGGTATGCGTACATTTCCAAACGATCCTACAATCTGGCGTTTATTCGTAAAATTTACACGTAAAATTCTACTTTTAACGAAATAGTCTCGTTTCCGCTTAAAACTTCGCACCGTGAAATCGAAATCCAACGTAACGTTTTATTATAGTCGTATATATATAGTTATAGGAATAAAGATACGCGGCATAAATGGAATAAAATAAAAAAATTCGTGTTTTTTCCCTTTCTTTTTTCCCCCTTTCCGAATTAGCAAAACATCTTGTTTACTTTCATTTCATAAAACTTACGCGATATAAAACAGCGCTACGTTTTTATCCACCATAGGAAAAGTTGGTAAATATTTGCGGCCGGTGCGCGAGTTGGGAACGTATATCCGATTCGAGGAAAGAAGGAAACAACATTTGACGAGTTTTTTCAGACGAGACGTGTAGATAATTCAACTGGTAGGAGGAAATCGTGCGAGGTGTACCTTTTACCGTTGAAAAATTCTTAATGGAAAATTCGAACGATCCATCCGTGGGAAACACGGATCGTTAGAGGACGAAAAACATCTCTTTGTTTCTTTCTCCTTTTTTTCGTGAAAACGAGCGAAACTTACTTACAAAAGATGCTTGCTTCGATTAATATCTCCTGAAACTCGTTACATCTTCCAAATCTTTCCGTTTCGCGTTAAATAAAAAAAAAAGCTACCCTCTTACGAAGAGGGTTAAATCAAATTTGAACGATCAATTATCAAATATTCAAAAAACACAATTTCGAAATATTTTTTTCGCGGAAGACGTCCCTTATTTTTATCCATATCCTTTCCAATACATATCCATCCTCGTGGATGAAAATCCACGCTTCGTAGTTACCGATCAATTCCTCGCAATCCCCTCCGAATCGAATCCTGACCACGTTCGAGTCTAGAAATCACTTTCGACTCTTCGGGGAATCACGGTGGAAGATGCGCGAGAAATACAAAAATTCGTATAGATCCGAAACGACATTGGCGAAATTTCAACAGGATTATGAGGGAAGGGAAGGAAGGAAGGGAAGAAATTGGAAATCCAAGGAAAATGACGAATAAATTCTCGAGGGGGGAAAAAGGTCTGGTAAAATTTCAAGGTTGGACGATGATACATTCCGTCGTGGCCATTCCTCGAATTTCATGGTTAAAAGGGAATTGTTAAAAGCTTCCATCCCCATGCGATGCACAACTCGTCAAAGTTGAGATATCGACAACCATGCTGAAAAGTTTGAACGCCTTGCGTACGCCTTGTCTGATGAAATTTCTGAATCCATGGTTTCGTAAATAATAAGGTTTTGTTATTCGCCGATGGAGAGGGTAAGCTCTATATCGATAGAAATTCGCGAGTACACGAGCATCTCTCGTTGCTGTTACAAGTGGCGTAAAGTTGGAGACGTAACTTTACGCGGTGAAACTTATCTCTTGAATAGGGATGGAAATTACGCGAGAAGGAAACGGCGCGGACGAGTTTATAAATAAATCTCTGGCGGGTGAATAATAACGGCGGATTGCGAAACATCCCCTTTGAGAATGGTCCTTAATTTCCACGATGATGATTAGAAGCGGAAGGTGATACAATCGAGAGATAATGAAGCGTGAAAGTAAGGAAGGGGGAGGGAGGGGTGCTTTGGAAAATCTCCCTGTCGCGAAAAATGCGATCGATCCGTTGCGAACTGCGGTATTTCCATGCGAAAGCGGACGAGATTCCCGCCGCTTTAGAGTTTCCTCCCTTCTCTTCGGGAAAATAGTCGCGACGCAGACCTTTCTTTTCTTTCCCTCTTTCCCTTCTTTTCCCTTCTCTCCTTCCTTCCCCTCCTCCTTCGCCGGCGCTTTTTATCGTTTCTTTCCTTTTCCCCCCGCGGTTTCGAAGAAAGCGCGGCTTCGAGCCCTCGCCATTCAAGTAAGAGGGACGCTCGTTGTTCGATGGGAGAACTCGCGACACTTTTGCGCCACGTACGATTTCATTCTCGAAGAGGGACACTGGAGGGAATCGTGAATGGCGATTTACGACGGATTTTCCTCGCCTCGGAAAATATTGCGCCCATTTCCTTCGCACGGAAATGGAAGAGGGGGGATGCGCGTGGGTCGATCAGACGGATGACGGCCAGAATTTTCATTCACACCGCGGTTCATAAATATCCATCGTGCGAGTCACGATTCGCAGAGAATGATTCGCATCGCGAGATCCCTTCTCGATGCGCGATATGTGCGCAACATTCTAACATTTTTATCATCGACAGGTATCTCGGAATCCTCCTGCACATGGAGGATGACCGCTAAATAACTCAGGATCGTGTCTTATCTGGATCAACCGGACGATTTATCACGCTCGTCTCGACCGAGCAACAATTCGTTTGACACACGTGCGCCCCGTATTATTAATGGAAATCGTTGGCTCGCTTCTAATCGCCACGAAAATAAACGACTATTCTATTTCTTCGCGCGAACCTCCTTCTCCTCCTTCAAGAACGAAACGCGCGTCCTTCGCAAACGATCGTGCAATTCTCGCCCGATAATTTCCTCGCGATCCCTTCCGTATAAATTCCCCCCTCGAACGCCTCCCCTCTCGAATGGCAACACGAACGAGATATATTCATACTCGCAAACGCCAAATATTTATGATCGAGCCGCGTATCCATCTATCTTCCTTCCCCTCCTCTTACCCACGTCCCTCTTTTATTTCATCCATCTCCAGAGTTACGAGATACGAATCGTGATACGATAACGTTGAAAGCCTGGTTTCGAGACTTGGAAACAATTTCGCGCGGCGGTGCAAACGCGAATTTCATTTCCGCGCGTTCCATTTACATTTTTGTTGCGTTGTAAACGTTGAAATAATCGTATA